AAAAGGCGTTGGATACAAGGGGTGCAACTAGAGGGTGGATAACACACAACTTTGAACAAAAATATATTTATTAACTTCATAATTATATATTAATTCAAATGAAATACATTTTCTTTAATTGAAATAACACAATTTACTACATTTTTTTCTTTTTCGAATAGCTCTTGAGGATCTATTAATCTAAGGTTACAAATTACAACCTAATCTAAAGTAATATACTTGTCTTGCAATAGCAGGCGATCAAACTCTTCCACAGAAGAGAAACGTTATCTCAGTAACTGTCCAATACGGACTTACTTGGTATCGGTAAACGATATGAATACTGCACAATGTAGGCGAATTCCACGTGATTTATTTGAAAATACTCGAACTACTCGTAGGTTTTACTTTGGGCGTTTTATGTGCACTGTAGACTCAGCGTTTTACTCATCATATATATTAAATCAAGTATTTGAAGATTGCGTAGAACATCTGCAGGAACGCCTCGATTCCCCTGGAGAGCATTAAAAAAGTCAAAATTAATAAGAATAAATAACTTAATTATTTGATTATTTATTGAGCATGTACCAAACTCGTCTTCAGACTCTGCGTTTCTCATAATCATTCGTCGTTACTGACCAGAGAATCGCAGRCTCCAGAAACGAGATTTGCTGAGATGACGTATCTGGCCCATAGATATTGAGGTCATACTTACGTTATTTAGAACGAGATTACGAGCGTCACGTGCTGCCAAGTTTGACAAGGCAGTCATGTCGAGCTGGAACGAAACTGGGGACTTGACAACGTTAAGTACTTTCTGAAATTTAAAAAAAAATTAAAGTTGAAAGTTAAGCTTTAGTAATGCCAGAGTGAAGGAGGTTTTAGGTTTTGAATTGTAGAGACCAAAGCTGGTCATGGCGCGATTAGCTCCACAAAAGGGGGTTCCAGTTTCATTGTCCTGAGCCTAAAGAGAGTCTAAAGAACATGATTGGATTCACAAGATCTCTAAGGGTGGACAGCTAGATCCGCTAATGATGCTGGAAATCTTTTGCAAAATTTGTTCGGCAATATCTTATATTTATCATGTAAAATACTCACATAATAACTGATGGTGTCTTTAAGGTTATTATTGAGTCTCTTGAGATGATGTTTGACAGTTCTTCCATCGTTGCACAGACCAACAGTTCTGTCGGTCTTTTTGATCTGTCGAAGAGGGTTTGAAAGAGAGTACAACCCTGTCAGGCAATCCTTATCTCGGAGACTGGTCTGAGAGAAAGAAAAAGTAAAAGTTGAACAAACGAAAACAAAATAGCAACAACAAAAAATGAAAAAAACAACTGAGCAACAAAAATTTGCAATACCATGACATTAAAATGACTTTCAATGAACCTTTCTCAAAATTGTCTTGAATGTGAGGCTAAAATGGAAATACACAAGAAATGCCACAAATTCCGTGGAGAAATGTGTGATTTCTTTTGAATCTTAATGATGTTGCCTCGCATCCAAGATCTTTTTGACGAGGGTCTACTTAGCCTCTGAAACACTGATTTCATTTGCTTTTATTAAAAAATTTACCTTTGTCCTGCGGCCGGGATTAGTTTGTATTAGTATCTTTTTGATTTCATTCCAGAGTGGTCCTCCTCGATGGGTAGAACTCAAGYGGWGAGCTTTCATCTAGATAAAAAGAATATGAAGTAATAATTAGCTAATGTTACTTAGYATTACTTATTATTTATTATTTTTAGTGACGGCATACAAAGTATAAATCCTTTGAATTTTGGTATCAGGCTTTTTGTTAGCAAAATTGTATATCTTTTTTTCCTTTATATTAGGATTTTTAAGGAATGGATCCCAATCTTATACCGAGTATAAGAGTATTAACCAATAAGTTTTTGAAAATATTGCCGCCAGCTGAGTCGATCTTCAGATCAAACTCAAGGTCAAAAAATCAACATCATATTTTGATCAGCATTTCCACTTATAATTCTGCCAAGCCAACCCTTAAAATATGAACTCTTCGTTGTTTGAATTGATGGTAAATGCTACTAGTCGAACTTGTGGTGGAATTCCAGTTCAAAAGACAAGAAAAATTTACATTGTACTCAGTCCCTGCTAAGAAAATGCTATCCAAAAATAGTTGACCCATAATCCCTTTCGGGGAACGCRGTCAACTCAGCTAGTGGGGGACGGTTCGTAACAAGAGAATTTTATATATGAAGCTACTMTAGGTTGTCTTAGGTACTTACGTAACATTTCAAGGAATTATTTGCACTGTTTTCTAATCTTCCGTGAAAGGCTTGTTTCACATTATTGGCCAAGCCACACGATAGGAGCATAGAAAAGATGCACGAGAAAACTAAAGACAAACAAAAATCCATATATCAATTGAAATAATCACAAGATTAGTTCATATCTTTCATATTGTACAGCAGCCTGTCTTTGAGGATCATTTAGAAATTCTTAGATCAAAATTTAACGAAATTCATCACTCGCTAACTTCGAAAATATTACATACACAATAATTTTCTAAAAAAATATACTGATTTTTTAGCTCAGTATTTATAGTTAAAACATTTTCTATTACGTTCTAATAGAATAAAATTTAAAAGTTTTAGAACTTAAAAAATATTGGGTATAGGATTTTAAATATGTTTTAATTAATGAAAATATAATTCGTAGACTTACCGAGTAGGTAGTTGGTTTGAAAGGCTTTCATATTCTTTAGTTTCCTTGGCTGTAGAATTCTTTCTTGTCAAAGGATTTTCTCTCTTACTTCTTAAATGGATATGTGATAACCCCATTTTCTCTGCCCTTTTTATATTAAYCATAACCGGACGAGAACAACTTACTAGATTATTATTTTAAGTTTATTATTTTTGATTATTTTTGAGACATGTATCCCCATTGAATACCGTATAGCTAAGCATCACTGATCACTGTTGACTGTTCAGTCACATTCTAAAATTGTACCGTCAAATCGACGAAATGCTTAAACAATTATCTATTATYGCTATCTTGTTATCATGATTGTTGATCCATAACGAAAATATGAAAAAAACATACATTCATCACATATCCTTTATTATTTTCGTAATATGTTATATATCAAATCTATTTTCTAGACGTTTGAGAATACTTCGTATTGAACTATTTTTGAAGTTATATTGATACACACACTTGTTTTCCTGGCTCAATCAAAAAATAATCATCTAGGAAGTTTTCTTTTTTTTTTCGACATTTAACATATTCTGATTATGATAAAGTCTCTTGGCTTGACCTTTTTAAAGTTTTTTAAACTTTTCGTTGTTCAAAGTTGTTTATTCACCGATCTAATTAAAATTAAAGTAGTTTCTCTTTTTCATCGAAGCAAAATCAGAAATGCAATGGTTACAAGCGTTTTAAGTATTATACCAATCATTTTTTWAAATAATATTTCTAACAAATTATAGGTTTCATTTCTAACAACATCTGATCATTAATCTTAGGAAACTAATGATTGGCATCAATCATATTCTTTACTCGCCATGAAGTTARAATATTACCCGGAACGTCAAGTTCACTGAAGCAATAACTGTTCCTTTGTTCAAATAAATATTTGAGTTAATTTAGAGTTTTTTTTAATAACTTACGTCTTGCAAAGTCTTCGGCATAAAAAATCCTGTGTAACTTTCCCCTTGAAAGCAAATATTGACACGGCTTTGATTTTTACTCATATAACAATTTTTAAACATTTTCAACTGAATCTGAAGTTGGTTGATGTTTGACCATTTCGTATTTATATATTAGCGAATCAACCAACTATATTAAATTATATAATAATAATAAATAATCTTTATTGAGGATACCAGGATCAAAATGGTTTAAATGATGARTTAGTATGAAATATTTATAGCCATAAATTCAAAACTTTTCATCWTATCGCAATCATTCCTTAAAATTCTGGAATCCCATTAATCCAAATTTCTATACTCTCAAATCTATCGTCCCTCTCAAACACCTCTTCTCCTCAATAAACCATGTTTATTCGCTATGGCAACCTATGTTTATTTACTATGGCAACGAGTTAATCCTAAATTTCTATTCTCCCAAATCTATCGTCCCCCTCAAACAACTCTTCTCCTCAATCAACCATGTTTAGTGGCCACCCACGGAGCGTGGCCATATTCTTGGAAAACGAGGTATTAACGTTGACTGCTCATGCGCAGTATTTCATTGACGTCATTGAGGGACAGCAAACAAATGCACGTTACTACATCAAAAAATTATGGAAATGTAGCCAAAATTCCCCGACAATATTATTTGCCCTGCTTTGATTTGGGAAAATGATGAATATCTGCTGACTGTATTTATAATATGATGCAGTCCTTAGATCAAAAAGCATTACCTGGCCAAACAGAACCCCACAAAAACAGTGAGTTAAAAAAAAGAAGAAAAAAGTGTTTCCTTTATACTAGCAGTTAAGAAAAATCAAAGTTACTTCAGTTTTAAAGGCACTATGACACTCGCCCTTTGATTATAATTCCCCCTTTGTATCCGCAAAAAAAATCTCTCTGGAACCTAGATTAGGGTAATCCCATTCAATTGCAATGCTTTGTCAGACACTTTGAAAGAAAAGAAACTGACGGTCCCTGAATACCGACAGTCTTCCTCGAAAGAACATAAAGTYCCTTGTAATACAGACATGCAGCACTCTTCCTATGGAAGTGAATGCTCAAGATGTTTTAAGAACACAACTCTATAATTTTTTTAATAATGTAATATTATATTTTTGCAATATATTGTTTTATGTCATCATTATCATCATAGTTGTGGTCAATCATGACATGGCTGAATCCAGTGTCAAAAATGAAGTAATGTTGGAGTAATTAAGTAAAAGAAATGTGTTAAGGGTCACATAACCGATGACTTATGAACAGTAGCCTCTTACTTTRATATACGAGAAGGGGTGACTAATTATCTAGATCTTTCTAGGGAAAAGGCATTTAGATGCAAAGAAAGCGAAGAGGAAGACCTGAAGAAGAGAGTTGAATACACCTCTGTTGAACAGCATTAGCTCCGATTGCGTATAGAATTATTTTCAATATTCATTTGTTCCAGTGAAGTTCCGTGGTCTTGTAAACTGGTTCGTATTGTTGAAATTTCGCATTCCGTTTACTTCGAGCAACCGAACAGAAAAAGCAGTAACAGAACAGCCGAAGAAGAATAAAGAAGCAGCAGAACAGAGAAGATAGGAAAATCCGAGGACAGTGAAGAACATGTAGTTATTTCAATATTTGAAAATTTAATATTATAAATTTAGTTGCAATATTCAGTGAAACTTTTAAGTTGAAGAGCCTGCGTGAAGTTTTTCCGGCAGAAATGTTGCCCTCCTCCAGATTCACGTCAGGGCGGTTTTAGATTAAGAGGAAACCCATCTTACTGCTCTAAAACCTAAACTTCCACCCAAGGTGAGGGCGGGCAAGATGGCGGACACGTCATGCACATGACAACGACCGGTATGGATGTAATGAATGGATGTAAGTTATAATAATTACTATCAGCAACTTCTGACAAATCCAAGTTCATAAAAATACTGGTGCCTGTAGTTTATCCCATGTCTCAATCAAGAGTCTCATGCAATCACAGACTCAATCATAGTAATCAAGAGAACATGAAGTAACATTCTCTTGTAGTAATCACTGGGTTGCCTGTGGCAGCCCAGTCGCAAAATGTCTTTGGTTTTCGTTTTTTTTTTTTATAGTCTCCTTCTCGCGAAATGTGCATTCTTGCGCAAGAGTACCCATATGATTTTGGATGGATTTGAATGACGAGTTCATAGATTAAGTCATTAGTCGTTGTCAGTGTAATTTTAGATGGAGCCTATTAAAACTTAGTGACGTCAGTAACGCAATGCTGTTTTCTCTGGTTACAAAACCGCATCTGTATAGTTTTACTAATCGAGTGTCATTCACATTGGGCAACCCAGTGCACGCTCCAAGAGCGTCTTGTTGCATTTTTTGCATAATGTAATAAAATCACTAGTTATTTGTAATAAAATAAAAATCATACGATAAAAGCTGCAACTTCGGCRTAAAAAAAACGTCTAGGTTCCGTACGATCCAGCCAACCGTAGTCCAGTCCATTCCATCTATGTACGGTTCCAGATTTTCCAAAATTTAGAAACACTCAAAATTCGGGCATTTAGAATAGAGAGAAAAGTTTTAGAAGTTGGGCATGTTTATGCTATACATTAAGATTATCCATGGCCTTTCAAAAGGTGAAAATTGAAAAAAAAAAAATTGTGTGTGATTCAAGATCCAGTCACTGACCGARGCCCAGTCACTTCCAATCCATTTCAGTCACAACCAATCCATTCCATGTTTTACTCTAAGCAGGCGTATTAGAGTATCTCTTATCAGTTGGAAATAAGTGCGTCTAGTTATTCTTATTTTCACGTATTTTGACTGAGCTTGAGCGACCAGCACGTGCTTCGATACCAGAATGCAATGCAACAGGGCCAAGGGGAAATGTGTCGTTTCCTTGGAGATCCAAGATGGCAGATACGAATGGTCTTTACTCGCTTGAAACCAAAAAACAGGCTGTAGCTTACTTTAAAAACAACCAAGTCCCTCAACATGTGGAAAACCTTCTTAATAAGATGTTCAAGGARCAACCTGAGGATATATTTGGGTACATGGTGAGTTAAGGACTGACTTAAAAGAGTTTATAAACCGTGAACTGACTAAAATTCAAATTGAAAGTTTACTGTATTTTTACTTATTAGTCATAATACTTTGAAATTCTTTTAATCGTAATCTTTCTTTTTGTTTATRAAACTGAATATAAACTTAGTCGTAAACTTACTGTATATATCAAATATTTYATCAAATAATAAATGCAGGTTAGTCTAGCTGCCCATTTTTCATCAGGACTTTCAGTGTATAACTTATTATACTCAAACTTGTTTGTTTTTCCTGCATACATCTTATAGTCTGAATTCTTTGGTGGAAGTTCAAAGRCTCCATTGATATCAAAGGTACAATACTATTGTTTGAACTAAAAAAGTAATAATATTTTTACACAAGTGAATATGATAATCCAGTTTGCTCATTGGTCACAATTTACGTCTTATGCTATTATTTATCTACAGGCGAATTYAACATGCACAGGTTACCAATGTCTTTGAGTGGCCTGAGCTTAAGGAAATATTCATAAAAGCTCACTGTARTTTTCATGCATGGTTAATTCATACTTTATCTACTCACAATAACATTTTCTTCTGTGATTGTYATATTTATACAGATTACAAGCCATGAAGTTCTCAGCAGTAGAGGATACCCTACAGTCCAACTAGACCTGTATTGTACTATTAAAGGACTTTCAAAGGTGCCATTACATTTCCAGCTGATTAATATATACGTAATTGGGAATCAAGGGTAATGTAGTACTAGTAAACTCCCCTCCCATTTCTTAGTTCTCAGGTTTATAATTTCTGAACTTAGCATCACATGTTTCATGGAACAATTCCTTGTGCCATCTACTTGTAATTGTCTTACACAAAAAAATTGAGTGGCATAAGCATTTTTCATGCTTGACATCCCGTCATGTGGTGACTTGAATTTGTTATTTTCTTGTTTCACGAAAAGTAGAAACGGTTCTATTTTCAGCAACAGTGACATGCTTGGGCAACTTGCCTCTTAATACAATAGCAGATATTATGGATGCATGCAAATGAGATGCAAATGAGACTACAAGCATTGTATCCACCCAATAGCCTCACTTGTATGATTCTTCAAACAGAAAAATATCTCATTGTGGGCTTAACTGTATTAACAGCTATTGGAATGCATGAGCCAATCAGAAAGCAAGAATTTGCAGCTTTATGATTCAAATAAGGTGTGCATATTGCAACAAATCATGTATGTGACAAGGTCTCGTGCAACCTGCAACTATCTTTTTTCAAGACGAGTTTTACAAGAAATTGTTCCGTGTGACACAGGCTTTGCATTTGGCTTGAGGGAGGGTTATCTACAAATCATTACATCCCAAATGCTGCTTCAATCTGGGATTTAGATAAGCTCACAAAGGTTGTTTCAGGGACCAATAACATTGAAATTAAAGTTATAGGTTTACTAGAATATTTTTCCCCAGTTTGTGACATCTATCACACTTCTATATGATGCTGCACCTCTCAGCACAAGAACAGATGACATCAAGCCAAAGTCTCCAGAACCAACAAAACAGCAAGGAAAGACTCCAGCAGAGAGCCAGCCCTCAGCAGCTCCTAGTGAGAATGATTTCCAAGTAAAAACAATAGATATGGATGATTTGGTTCAACGGATAACTGAGACTCTTGGTCCACAGCTCAAAGACTTGGATCCTRTAGAACAGAAAGCTATTGATGAGATTTTATTGTAAGCTATTAATAATATTTAATTCACTTATGCAATTGTGTGTTACCTCTATTTAGCAGACACCTTCAGGACCTTGCCTGGTCTTTGCTAAATAGAGGTTTGTTTTATATAGTAGTTAATATGGCAGAAAAAATTTGGGACTGTGCAACTTGTGCTGTCTGTTTAATGAAGGGTGTCCACTTAGGCTGCGYTCATGATGTATGGCRGAGGGGGGGCAGGTGAAATTTAGGGGGGATCGGAAAAATTTTTACCAGTAAAATGGGGGGGCTTGAAATTTTTTTTCAGAGAATTTGGGGGTCTTAAAAATTTTTTGTCATTTAAAGATTTCACTCTGCCATACATTATGAACGCAGCCTTAGGTGTCTGCTTATCACTGTATATCAGTATACAGATGGTGGATTATGTTTTCTTAGAGTTCCATTATCAACTGTAAACAATACTCCCTATTTGATTAGCAAATTTGTAAATCATTTTATTAGCAAATATTATTTTCATGTACAGTACAGCTGTATGTGTGTTACAAAACAAACAGTCAATCTGAGTTCAATCAATCATCATGGTAAATAGCTTAACTGATTTTCAGATACCATGTAGTTATACCATGTGTTGTCCATATATACATCTCTTGCAGGCCTCCCAGAGTCTGATATCAATAATTTATTTAGACCTTCCAGAGTCCTATAACAAAACAATAAAAAGTTTAAAATCTTATTCTAAATAGGAATGTAAAAGGGAATATTTTTTAGTTCTAAATTTTTAGTTCTAAATGAGTCTTAGGCACATTACACATATCGAATATAAAGTTATTAAATCTATCTCTGTCTTACATAACAGTTTTGTGATTTTCTAGTAATCTTGTTGAGGAACCAAAACCAGAATCAAGACCACTATCACTACAAGAGCAGCGGGAAGACCAGGATCAGTCCTCTGAGAAACCTGCTGATGAATCTACCATCAAACACCCCAAAAAATCAGCTGGKGCCATTAACAAGAAGCAAAGTGGTATGCTTGATAAAAAGGGAGGCAATAAAGACTCTGGTATACAGCTTATACCAGACATGGAAGAGGAACACATTAATATTGATTACGCAATACTTGGTGTTTCCATGGTGACAGTCATGGCTGCWGCAACCTTAAAGTCTTGTTCGCTCTTTGAGCACCTTGTGGAGATATCACCCAAAAAGGTGGGAATATTTAAGTACTTTTCCATTTGTAAATTATTTTTTATTGTGTCACTAAAATGAAGTAGGAAATATAGCTATTTGGGGAAAAAAGTTTGTGAAGGTTTTCGTTGCATTTTGCATGTTACATACCAAACCTAAAAAATGATGGGATATGAACGATAAACAAAATATGAAATTTTCCCAAACTTTGTCTGCACATTTTTCTGGCATAATTTCTCGTGTGTGTGCAAATATACAAATGTATATGATCTACAATGTATGATGTACATGTACAGTACAATACATTGGAACCTTAGTAGGCATTACATATGTTATGCAACAAAACCTTTATCATCCCTTTTTGTAATGGCTGTGTACAGTAGTAAATCATCACTCAGAATGCTTTCCACTGACTAATTGTTCTCTCTAAAACAATTTAATAATATTCTAATATATTATTTTACAGGAACAGAATGGTTTTACAATGCCGATACCTGTCATGACTCTTCTGTCAAGTGGTAAAAATGCCTCGGGAAAACAGAACTTTATCAAAGAAGTGCTTGTTCTTCCTAAACCAGGGGTGGCCATCAATAAAGTAAGGAAATACTTAATATTCTACAATTCAACAGGAACATGTCTAGGGAGAGGAATATCAAACCACCTAAACCCTACATATTCATATCCCATAAATTACAATTAAACATACCAWCCCCATAATTAAAATTATCCGTTTTAATTTCTGTTATGAAATATTGAACTCAGTAAAAGTGTGTACAAAGTAAACCTTATAGAAGAGCTATAGATGCATGGGGAAAATTTTCTGACTTTTTATTGGTGTTGTGAATATTGAATATTGACTTCCAAAGTAATGTAAKGGTGCGATGGTTTATAATTGTAATATATTTTCAAACCTTGGATTTTAAACCCTGCATCCCCTCCTCCTCCTTCCTCCCTGCCGAAATCCACCCCTTTAATGTTATAAATATTAATTTGGAAAATACATTTAACATGCCATCTATTGATGTTTCAGGGAATTCAACAACTGACAGAAATCTTTCATCAGATGGGAAGAATTCTAAGTCAAAAGTTTGGTGTATGTACAATAATGTATTGTTTATTACTCATGAATTACTTATTAATACAATCTTGGGGTACGTTGGGATGAGCTCACTTAATACAGGGCACTTGTAATATGATATGAATAGACTACTGTACTTGTATGTGACGTCAAAGCTGCCCCAAAKCAACAATTTACTGGTCCAAGAACATTGGACAGTCATGCATTAGTGTAGAGCTCTTTTCTCCAACTCAGTYAATAAGACAGTTAGTACAGTACATCTTTGTGTTTGTTGTAGACTTTTGCAAGATGTGTCWCACAGGATGGGAGTTACTCTCCTGTTCTTGATAAACCTGATACAGCACTAGACCTTGTCCAGGATGCTGTTAATGGCTGTGGTTATACATTAGGGACTGATGTTGACATCATATTGAACTGTGCAGCTTCTGAATACTATGATCAGGTATTGAATGACTTATATAGCTCTTTTTACAATCACCACTTATTCACTTACAGGTAAAAAAAACCTGTCCTTTTTTTCACGAGGGTAGCACTTAATAGCCAATGGCTAACAAACCTGTGGCCTTCATTCCATGATTGAATTGGAATTTTGGGAGTCTATTTTTGCGGAGGGAGGAAAACCGGAGAACCCGTAAAACCCTCGAAGCACAGGAGAGAACCAACAAACAACTCTACTCACATACAACACCAAACCCGGCAGGACTCGAACTCGGGTCGCATTGATGAGAGGCAAGCACTCACACTGCTACGCCACCAGTGCTTCCCGTACTCACCAGTAATTCAAACAATCAGTAGCTCACCACCCATTCACAAAATCACTTGCCCACCACCCACACACTGACTCTACTCACTACTTAATCACTTGCCAATCATTCAATTACTCACCACTTATTCCCGAACCCACCACAATTACTCATCACTTATTCACCCTCATTCAACATTCACTCATTGAAAATCACTTATTCACCCACCCACTCAAWCATACTTCATATCTATTCTTTTTTTCTTCAACTATACTATTCTTTCTCTTTATGTCTCAAAGTACTTTTTGCTGAAAAAAATTCATTTTCTAAATAACACAGGATAAACTTAAGTATGAAATCATTTTGAACACATTCAAGTCCCTGGATGATGTCATCAACATGTACTGTGAGYTCCTTGACAGATATCAAGGGATTGTTGGGATCATTGATGGAGTCAGAAGTCAGGTATTAAAGACATTCTAACAGTCAAATTATAGGCCACTAGTTCTGTGTTTTTACATGTATTAAAGAGTGCCTCCTGCAGTCTACCCAATATATTCTGTTGGGATCCCTGTGTTGAATTTTATGGCAAAAAAAAAAACGGAAGAGATCAGCCTGCAGAGGAGGCTATATTATAGAACAGTGCCCTTTTCATTTCCTATGTTCAGATGGTAGAGACATGTGAACTGTTAGTGATAGGTCACTTGCATAAATAACATGATTTACTAACAATATCAGAATCCCTTGCACACTTTCTTTCRTTCAGTTATTTAACACCTGAATGAGGAAATACAAATTTGAATGAGCRATAATACTTGCGAAGCTTATTTTTAGTGGTAGTAAAGTGATGCCATTATGCAAGTAGCCTATTAATATGTTCTTTCTTCATTTAGGATAAAGAAGGCTGGATCAAACTAAATGAAAGGATTGGTGAAAAGTGTTTTATCATTGGTGAAGAATTGTACAAACGTAATCCAGGTATTCTGTCAGTTGGTGTGACAGACAAGATATCAAGTGCTGGTGTCTTAAATATGGACCAAGCTAACACTATAACTGAATTGATGGACAAGGCTTCAACCCTTACAGGTAACTAATCRACCAGTTGACCTTGCATCAGTCAGTGTCAAAAGAACAGTATTACAGTGCAATGCTCAAGAGTACGACCGTTTCTGTGCMCAGGCTTTGTGCTGCTAAACAAGTTATTACATACTTTATTTGGTAAAACCAACCAGCTTTGCATCGAAATATAATTGGCTTAAAGTAAAAAAGCCTGTGCATACAGCATAGGACATAAAAGATGACAGTTGTAACTAAACTGTCAACARTGATTTTAGCCACTTTACTGTGCGACTACAGCAACCAAGGTCACCCAAACAAATTTCCATACAAATTAGCCAATCACAATTGRGTACTTAAATAATAGAATCTTTACAAATTTTCACATTTTTTAAAATTTGAAATCATATATTTTACTTTATATGTGGTGTGTGTATGATCAGGAGTGAACAAGAAGCAGTTTAAAACCCAGAATTCATTGATTCATCTGTTATATAGTGTTAAAATGTGATTTGTGAATTTGATTTGAAATTTGTTTGGGTGGCCTTGGTTGATGTAGTCACACTCCATGTATGTAGTCACACCATGGGGCATGTTCTTATCACCATAATTATATATTGTTCTTACCACRAAGTAAAATAACATTCTTGTGCCTGAAAATTAAACAAAATCTGCTGCACTTCATTTTAGATCAAGGTGGTCTACTAATGCTAAGTGAAGGGCCAGTGAAAGATACAGTGCCATTGGTTGTGGATGTGGTGAGTACATACATAGTTAACTATGGTACATTAATGTATGTCATGATGGAAGTATTGGACAAATACAGAATCACTGTTAGAGCAATGTGGCCTCAATACTACCATTATCATTGAAGTGGGACCTGCGAAGTTTAATGTCTCGTGTGCAGACTAGCTATAGCATTTCAATGACCGTCAATCAAAGAACTGCAATGAAAAAACAATACCTTGAAGGAGATTTAGACTGCATCAAGTAATTAATTCCTCTAAATTGTCTAAAATCTTTAATTCAGTACGAAATCTCCCTYGAAATATTGTTTTTTATTGCACTTCTTTGCTACTGTCTTTAAAATGCTAGTCGGCGAAGGAGACATCAAACTTTGCAGGTCCCACTTCAATGATAAAGGTAGTAAACCCATGGTAACCAACTATGAAAACTAAATTCCCCTTTCTGTTGTGCAAACCTAGGCAATAGCAGTTGGTGCCAGGTTCATAAAACTTGGGGGCCCTATGCACCTTGAACACATCTGTAAATACAGAAGACTACAACAGATTGARCAAGAGCTGGAGAAGACTAGCACCCTGATACAACAGGAACCCCATGTATTCCCTGTCATTAATGTGGTAGAAAATAAGGATGAGAACAATGAACAACAACCAGAAGCAACATAAYACAATGAAATATTTATTAACATATTTAATGACAATTAATAATTTATTACTGCAATGTCGTTGTACATGTACATAAAACCGTTTCATATTATTGAGGCAATCACAGTAAGATATTCCTTAGTATTTTAGTATTGGTATTGTGTTGAATATTTTYTTTAAAAGTTGCATACACAATCAGTCAGAATATAGTATTCAAGAGAAAGTCGTCTGGATGAACTCCTAATTTGAACAATATGTGGTCAATATCAGACAAAGTGCCCCCTTCCTCATCATTTTGCATGAAGGTATTCAAATCATTTCCATTTTGAGATTTGCATTTGATTTGCCTTAGTCAGTCTATGAAACTAATATAATTCTAAGTGTCGACCCTTGTGTAGTGCAAGTTTATTAGTAATTAATATTATGTACATTTTTGTAAATATATTATTTTAAAAATTTGTTGTTAGTTTATTGTTTTTGTCCAGTCTSGTTCAAAGAAGGCTTTACTCACAGCCACATGCGTGTAGCTGCGCAGACACAACGAAATTATGCTTCATATATATTGCATATGCTATGTGACTATCAGATGTGAGCTTAAGCAATGCAACCAGTCCCTTTGAAATCCATGACAGTATTCACTATAGTCAGGCAAAGTGTCATGCCAGGGCATAAAGGCATTGTATAATTATGTTATCTGTATGGTTCTGTCATGAAGCAGTTGGTAAATAGGGTTAYCATACTACTTGATATTGCAGATGGATTTACCAGGACTAATATAGGTTAGTAGGTGCAATTTCAAAGTTTATCTCGTTAATTTTTTTTACATGAATTTAAGTCTAGTGTACTTTGTTATCCAATCTCTTGCAGCAGCAACACTAGCATATATTCCATACTTATTTGGCACTCCACATTCATTGTGTCCAAAGGAGGCTACACCAGCAATGAACCATTTCTTGTCCTTGCCCTGGCACATCAAGGGTCCTTTAACAGAACAAAGTGGATAATATCAATATATTAATTAATGGAGGAAGAAATTATCATCATGGTAAGATTGGTCACATCTTTAAGTTGACAACTGCTATACACACCAAACAACTACTTTTTATTTCATTTTCATTGTTCATAGGCTGACAAGCTGAAAATTGCTGAAAGGTTTCTCTCTGCACAGTCATCTTGAACAAACAAGGGTTTCAGGTTTGTGCTATAATTTGATTGTATAAGACTTTTCTGCTAGCAACCTTGGTGCATTGTAGTCTTTAGCTTCAGTTCATAATCTTTTGATCATCATGCTTCATATGGTGTTGTTTTTACCAAAGCTAGACCACAATGCACTTTGTTTGTTGAACTCAGAAAAGTCCTCTTTTGATACCTCTACACATTGTCTTGTGGGAGGGAAAGTGAAACTAAGTAAAAAAAACAAACCCTATTTCCAGGAAGACTTAGCTTCAGTGACACCCAGAGAKGGCAAGAAATAGCTGATAGCTGCATGTCCTAGATTACGTAGAGTACACCACACTGGCTATTACATCGTAAATTTATGTTACCTCCACTATCTCCTTGACAAGTGTCTTTGCCACCTTTCTGATACCCTGCACAGATCATATCATTAGAGATTACTCCACTATAGGATTCTGGTTTATTGCAATCTTCTCGGGATACAATAGGGAGTGCTGCCTCATGAAGAGTGTTGGGTACTGGACCACCCACTTTTGAGTTGCCCCATCCYGCCACGTGACACATTTTACCTAGTGTGGAATAAAGTACAATAGAATATAAAACAAAACTAAGTACATACTTCAAATTGAGCACAATGTTTTCCTACTTTGTTCCCCAAGTGGTACATCCATACCTTGTAAATGGTTGAGAATTATTGGGAGAAAATAATAGTCTGTCTTACAAAACATTGGCAGCATCTTTGYGTCATTTAAGCTCAAGAAAGAAAGTTTGGTAAAGATTGTATAGTACTAGACTCTGGGGATCAAAACTGGGGGCCTTCAACATGATATTTTTTGTTGCAGTCCTAAAATTGGTTCCTACATTTGAACATGGGATGCCTGTAAGTGTCAATGCTTCTTTGCACCAGATGCATGCTTTGTACAATATTGATGGTGATCAGCTTTAGTCGTGGATCAAGAGTGAGTAGGTTCTAGTAAAAGTATCATCTAGTATCTAAGGGACCATTTATTACTTATCAAAGAGGATAGGGGAGAAAATAGAGAAAAAAAAATTATTGGTTTTCTCCAACCTTGTTACTGGGTGCCTATATATACMAACCATGTTTAAAGTTTTTCCTGCTCAAACACACAGGATAAACTTGCTCTGTCATCTTGACTGGCTTTTCCAACTCAAYCAACATCATATCATTGGTAGATATTAACTTTGGTCCTTCCTTGGTATTTTTCTTCACTATGTCCCATTTAGGGTTAAAAATCACTCTCTTTGCTGTTATCTCTTGTTCATTCCTATCCTTTCCCTTTAAGTTGTGTTCACCAAGACGTACCTACCAAGAACAGAAGTCTAATCATTTTTAACCTATTCTGGCCAAAAATAATGGAGTATACCCCATGTTTTTTGATTTTCCTATGCATGGACTATAGCCCATGGTTTTAATGGATTTAATTTTCCTTGAAAATTATATCATTTTGAAAAAGGGTTATTTTTGGCCTATTTTGGCCAAAAAACATGAAATATAGCCCATGGTTTTGATGGGCTATTTGAACCCTTTTTTGGCCAAACAGTGTGGACTATACCCCATGGTTTGATCAATATTATTTAATTCTCKACTTTCACATCCCCATAATGCCTTCCGTCTTTGGGGGATAACCAATCAAAAAACTGTCCCAAATTGAAAGGTTTCCTAATTGAATTTATACTATACCTGCTTTTATCTGTACAATACTGATTATCAGTTTATTCCAAGTTATTTTTGCGTGTACAGATCATCAAGAGTTTTGGTCTTATTGAAAAAATGTTTAAAATTTACCTTAAACGTCCTCAAGCTTCTATCTTTTTCTGTTTTTTACTTATTCATTTTATTTTTGGATACCAAACAAAGTATTGTCAACATTGTCTGATCAGCCTGCAGCAAGAGAAGTGGGTGTTTACCCTCTGGTTACCCGGGCCCAAAGACATAAAGTATTATGGGGATATGAAAGTAGAGAATGGATGTTTTTTGACTTCTTTTTGGAAAAGGGTCATTTTAAGGCTATTTTGGAGCATGGACCTAGAGCCCATAGTTTTGATAAATTTGGAGGATTTACAGTCAATTTTCCCACTGACCAACTCGCCCACGCATAAAATCATCATTCATATGTTTGCCAACTCGCCCACGCCAATTCACCCACGTTTAGAATCACTTTAAGAAATATGTTACCGTATGTTAAGACTAAATTAAAGTAGTTGGTGATTTACCTTACTTGAATCTTAAGCTCAAGACTTCAAAACGCGAAGTTTTTATACGGCGTAACTCACAAAACAACTTATAAACCAYGCCGGTACCTATATAAACCAGTGTAAATATTAGTAAACTAACCAGTACAGTTCCCAAGTTTTATCTACCATAAAAAGTTGTTGGCGATTAATTAAATCTTTGGGTTTGATTAAATYTAAAGATTTGGGTTAGAGTTACTAAAATGACAAAGAGTTATTAAGATAATAAGCCCGGGCATTAAAGGTGAAGCGTAAACACAACCTAAACTCACTCCAAGAAGGAAAATAGATATTATTTAAAAGTAAATGCGAATTTCTCTTCATTTCGATATCGTATCTGGTTTATATTTTCAATAAATATCAAAGTCAGTATACTAAACAAATCGGTAGTGGAAAATGACCCATTTTCAAACAGATCTAAATTTTAAGGAAAGTCAAAAAACACCCAAAATTCATCAAAACCAT